CAAAAATAATCCAGACTATTAAGAAAGATGTGATCTAGAGATTCAGTCCCAACCCACAGGATCTTAAGTCTGAGATCAGCAGACAGACAATTCAAAGGGAAACTACAACTGGGGGATCTAACTCTTAACTGCCTTTCCACTACTAGTTTCACTTTCCCAAGAAACTACTGTCATGTGACTAGTCAGCCTCCTCTCTACGCTTAATGCCCTTATTTGACTTATGATCTGCTTTGTATCTCCTATTTGTTTAACTACATTGCAATTATAAGGAGAAAGGACTCGTAAAGCAATCTACAACCTATACATACAGTTTGCATTGAAGTATGACCAAACATGGGAAGGCATACGTTGCTACTTCACCGCACATCTGGACACAGTAAGAGTATTTATCCAATTCAAAGAGTGAAGCAAAACTAGGAAGCTAGAGTGTAATCATGCTAACTGGAATCTAGCCTATACACTGAGACTAATCCTAAACCTCAGAAACGCAGCTGTGGCTCCTTCTCAATCACAAGTGGTAATCATTGTTTTATGTCTCATCCTAAGCACCACCTTTCCCCAGGAATACAGCAAATCTCAGAAAGCAACACGCTTGCACAAAAAGCTTGGCATTAAAATAAAATGAATTCCCCCCCCCAAAAAAACAACAACAACAAACAAACAAACACACTATTCACAACCTGGATCTTCATTGGATGTTTCTCCCCCAGGTGATTACCAAGTCTGACGTTAATAAAAGTATACTTACCTGAAGTAGAAGTGATAGTGTGACCAAGGGCAAGATAGTCAGAGATAGTTTATCTTTATTCACAAAAGATTTGTAGCCCATCCTTCTTCACCCTGAAGCTTAGTGAAAACGCACCCCATTGTGGTCTCCTACAACCAGCCAGAGCATAATTAACCACCTGCTAGTCACTCTCTTGTTTTCATAGTACTGAACTGATTATTTTATACGCGCTTGTTTGTAACAAGAGTTCTAGACGTTTTCAGCATAGAATCTTACTTTCCTTTTGTCTACACCTTACACTTACTAAATGACCAAATAGCACATCCTTGTGCCAAATTCTCCTGATTCTCCAAACTATTCTGACCCAGACTCTATGAATGACATATGTTTTTTTCTGTGTGTGACTCATTCCTTATTAGCAAAATGCAAAAGTTCTAAAAAATGCAATATTTATCCTCTGGAAAGGTGTTGTTTTGCTACAAATACAGGTCTGAAATATATTTTTTCCACCTGTGAGACCCGGCCCACAGCTTCCATTTAATTTATACTTAAACTTATACAGTAGTGGTCATTTTCAGAATTTCATTTGTATGCACGCTTCTGATCTACCATGGACACCAGCCAGTCTCTAACAACGTTAAGCAAAAGACCAATCCATTTCCTAATTAGAGATGTGAATTAATGGAAACAGAAACCACCATTTTAAATGCAGTAGGCCCTAAGCAAAAACTTATTTAGGTGCTCCATGTCCTACAGCATTTCCTGTGTAATATTTTCAAGTTAGCCATTCTCATCGATGATTTATGGCATCTAGGTGCTACTTGGCAGTACTTTCAATGTCTGATAAAGGAGAAAACCTTTATTGTACCTTGAACTGTCAACAGCTTGCTTCTGAAATTTGGGAAGAGTTTTGGCATTTGTCCTTCATAATGAAGAGAGTTTCAAAAAACTCTCAAACTGCCTGCTTTTGCATATAGGAGGATACTTTATGAGCATCTCGTTAACGAGTTGCATCAATTTTACCCATCTTCAGGATATGCTTAGTTCCACTGGCCTCACACCGTAATTCACCAACTGGGTACTGAATCTCATTGTGACAGCCCAGTTAGTTCTGCTGGCGATGTTAATGAGATTACGATTATCTGAGAAACACAGCTAGCAAGTATGAATTCTTACGTAGCCCTTTGGTTAAAAGGGATATTACAGCTTCAATAGAAGGAGACATCAGAAAGCATTTACCCACACAAAGGCATTCAACAATTGTGTTTAAATCTAATATAGCATATGATAAAGAGATGAGCTGCAGTAAAAGCCTGTCACTACTTTTCACACAATACTACTTATGCTCTATATTGGTCCAACTCCAGGATATTAGCAGCAGGAAATCTAAATACCTTCTGACACAACTGGATTGGGCCATCTATTATCACCCACAAATCCTTTAATAACAAATACGAGTTCAAATAACTAGGCTGTTCAACATATTACATTTCTAGACACCAACCAGGGAAATTGCAGTGATAAAATGACCTGTTTTAGGGAAGACCAGTGAAAAGAATTATCTATATCTGGGTTCCAAATCAAGTGCCTTTAATATTAGCATCACCCTTTCCACTGAATAAATGGTAGAGAAATAAACTTGACAGAACAATATATTTTCCACGCTCTAAAATTATGAATTTCAAAAAGGACTGAGAACATGAAACTGCAAAGTATTTAACCTCTAGGGAATAAATTCAAATACCAACCAGGTCAGTAATAATCTAATGTCAACTGTTACCGTAAAAAAGCGGACAATGATAAAGAATGAAGTATCAAGCTGCCAGAGAGGTATTTAGTGGAAACTGTGAGGATCTGTGTTATTCTTTGGTATTCTGTGTTATTCTCTCTGTATCTTGCTTAGAACTTGAAAGAAAAAGTAGTGTTTCTCCCTATCCTATTTCATGATCACTTATAACTCAGAGCATGAAAACTGTCAGCTTACCTCTTGGATTCTTCCATATACTGTTCTTATTCAGTTTGGGTGCTTGCTAGCTTGTCTGCAACGTTACCGTCTTAAGAAGGAAAATACAACATAGAATAATCAGCAAAACGTGAATCCTTGAGTTAGAAAGGTTTAGCACACATTGTAGATTTTGCTGATCTAAATGGCATATATGTTCTCAATCATATTTTTCTCCCTCCATAGTGCTGTCATCCTAAAGAAAAGACTGTTTTGTGCGGCTCTCTCCCTCTCATTGGTATTCATTTGACTCCCACTTGCTGCAGTACGGATAATTTCCCCTTCCATTCACAGTTGCACACCTCTCTAATCATTACCATAACTTGTATAGATGGAGAATATAAAAGAAGTATTTATCATGTATATATTAATTTAATTTCTTGTAGCAAGCTACATGCAAATGGAATGGGCCAGCACCATGTAAGCAGTCCACTCCCTGCAGAAACGAATGAATCACTGGATTTTAAAACATCTAAATGATATGTAGGCAGAAGTGTTTATTCAACTCTGTCTTACATTCTGCGGCATCAATGAATTTATTTACTCTTCTGCAACACTGTGCATCTATCTCATTACACTGGCCAAACTGTTTTTCTATATGATATTTATATCAGCAGCACACAGAGGTCTCTCTTTCAGGAACACGACCACTGGAGCTGCTAAGCTACACTTAATGAAACATGGGAGAAGGCAAGAGCTCTCTCCTTAAGGATCTCAAAGTCAAGCTGAGACCTTGACAGCTCAGTCCAGATACAGGATGAGATATTTACCATGATAAAACAGCACAGTGACTTACATGTGACAGGGAAAACACTATGCACCCCCGAGCGGAAGTATGTGCTTTTCTTGATAGAAATAATGACTTCCCTGAAAGAAACAAGTGGGATTAGCTGACCTGAAAGGGCGTTGTGAAACCAAGATCCCCCTACACAGAAGACAAGAGCTGCTTTTATCACGATGCAGCTACAGAAAATGAACCTCAAGCTGCAGGTGGATTTCAATCCCTGAAACATGCACTTCCTGCACCTCATTTCCACAACAGCATCACATCCAAGGCTGCAACTAGCAGAAATGACTGTCGCCTCGCCAGGGCCTCTCACCCTGCCACGTCGCCCTGCCAGGGCCCCTCGTCCCACCACGTTGCCTCGCCAGGGCCTCTTGTCCCACCACGTCGCCTCACCTGCCCCCCTCGCCTCGCCAGGTCGCCTCACCTGCCCCCCTCGCCCCACCACGTCGCCCTGCCAGGGCCC